TAATATTGTGTCTTTTGAGTTTTCATTTGTAAATTTTTTACCATCGTAGGAGCCTATGAAGTACTGGTGCGCAGGAAGTTGAAAGTCGGTCAGAGTAATTATCAAAACATATTTTTCAACTTGTTTTCCATTGATCGTGACATTAAAAGGTAAAAGTGAAGGACATTCCCATCTCCCACCATGTGCTCCATCGGTATCTCCAAATTCACTCACAAGCTCCCAGTCCAATAAATTACGCGAATTAAAGAACTTGGTGCGATTATATGAAGCCGATATTGCAACATAATAATCATGGTACTTGAAAACTGTCGGGTCTCTGTTGGCTGTTACTATTTCGGTAGTTCTCGGCCCAGGAATTATTGGATTATTCTCATAGTATTGAAATTTAACGTATTCAGGACCATCGTTGCTGTACGCCAACCATATATCTTGATGACGTGACGACCATTGAGCTGCGGTGGGCGTCAAGATCATTGTCGGTACTTTGGGGTTAGTTTGTAGCCCAGTGACATTGTTGTGGTCAAAGATTGCGCCACCAGAAAACATAACAACGTCTCTGCTTGGAGGATAAAGTGCAGTGTCGAGTGGTTTCCAATGAATCAAATCCGAAGATATTGCATGACCCCAATGTGTGTGCGCTATTTTTTATAATGATTATTTAGTATTAAGCAAGGTACTAAATTGCATAAATCGATTATATAAAAAGATTTCAAATACTGCAAATGGTTAATTCTTACATATGTCACTTGTTGAATTCGGATGATGTTGATAGAAGAGATGATATATTCCATTTTCATAGACTAAACCATTTGGATCGCTTAACCATCCTTTTGGTGGGGTATAGTGTAATTGGGGTCGATATACTTCATCATAAATCGCATAAGAAATCGAAAACATGCAAAACACGATAAAAACAATATCGATTCGAAACATTTCGGTGAAAATTTCTCGTTATACAATCTGAAATTGATTTTTTTAGTAGTTTAGAAAGGTTGATGATATTAAAATTCAAATTCGTGGTACCTTCATACAAAATTTTAGTTTTTGAGCCAATAATTGAAAATTTTGTATGAAGGTTGGCCTTATTTTTCAAACTCGAAAAAGAGATTCAAAAGTTTTTACAGTGATTAAT